TGTTTGTTTCTTGTAACTAGAACTAAGGAGTTCAGCCTAGTACAAATCAAGGTTTTAAATATCGGATGTCGGGTTCATGTCGCTCGGCCAAAATTCATGTCGGATAGCGGAAATCGGGGATATATCGGGGGACATGAAAAAAATATCGGATTGTCATATCGGGTAGGTTGATATAATATCATAAATGGAATCTTCACATACTTGATAATTATATTGTCTAAACATATGAAAAAGTACATATGAGAAGGGTCTTCATTTTCACAAGCAACCACCAAGTTTTTGCTTTTGCATAGAAAACCAAATAGACACTAGAACAGCTGCACAATTCAGTTTTATTCCCCTTTCCATAGAAAACATTATTTGTAAAAGGCTTCTTCACTACCATGCCAATAAGCAAACTTTACTAAATTCTACTACATGTTACTGTAACCCTCTAGATCAATGGTTTCTACTACATGTTAATGTAATCATTTTAATATTATAACTTAACTAAGAATTATGCTGTTATTTAATACATTATAGTGAATAATAGTATTATAATTATACTATAGATAAATATTATAAATTGTTATAAATAACATATGATTTATTATGACTATCCTAAATTACAATTAAAAATATAATAATTATCTATTATAATTTTAAATAATTATTTAATTTATTATAAATGTGTAAATAAATTATTATTAAAGTATAATAATTATCCAGAATATAAAATTATTAATACAATTCTTTATACACAACTTTATTTATTAATGTAAAGATTTATTAATTGTTCAATTTAAGAATTTATGTTATTATAAAAGTCACTTCATAATTTTACACTCAAAGAAAAAGATTACAAAAAAAATGTTCACATACAAAACGCGTGCATTATACTAGTAGGAACAAAAAGAAAATTCTACTGAAATTGAAAATTAAACTCGTAATTGCTATTCTAAACTACTTAACTGCATCGACTAACAATTGCAGGATTTTTATTATATATCTGTCATTTCTCCAAACAAGAAACTAGTAAAACCGAAGTATATGTGCAACTAATACAAATAAATTCATGTGTTTTTATAGCCTTCCATTATAAAGAAAACACATGCAATAACAAGTAATTAAAACCTACATGTCAAAGATATTGCAAATCATATGATTTCAACATGTCAATGTGAAACCGATATTTCTGAATTTTGGCCGATTTTTTATGGCCGAAATGTCGTCCGATATATCCGCTATTTTCCGACATGTCCCCGACATGACCTCAAAAACGCCATACGCATTAAATTCAACAATTTCGTGGCGGCTAGGCTCCGAATCCGCAATATCGCCCGCCATGTCCGACATGGCGGCTGATATTTAAAACACTAGTACAAATCATTTCTAAGCTAATAATGAGAGTTACAATTTGCAGTTGATAACTTCTTTTCAATTCTGTCATCTAGAGCTTCAAATCTCCAAAAACGTTGCTACATGGATGAAAGACAGATTCTGTTTAGTTAATTTGTAAGCAGGTCTGAGATTTAATTAGTCTTAATTTCCTGATTTACTTCGAATTCTTGATTGGTAAGGTAAGGACTGGACCAAATCAAAATTTGGTTTCAGGTTGGATTTGGTTTACTTGGAGAAGTTTGGGTTATCTAGAGATTCTACTAGTTGGATTTAAATTTTGAATTTTAGGGGTTTTTTTTGGATGAGAATGAAGTTTGAATATTTGACAAAATTAACTTTCACTAAATTCCATTCTTTGGTTTTTCATGTTTTTGTTTGTGTATGTAGAAAATTGGATGGAAATTTAGATGTGGTCCACTTTTTACGTTTTCTCCAAATCCTTTTGAGATGAAATTTTGCTAATGTGGTAGCAAATCCAAGCTGCATTCCCCAACAATCTTTCCCACATTGCAAACGGAAATTTTGCTTGAGAAATTTGAGCTGACAAGTATTACTGTAAGATATACTTATATGGAATCGTTAAGGATTCCATGGAAACAAACAGCTCCGTAGGCTCTTTTCGACAAAGGTTTATGAAAGAGGGTGACGAGGAACAGAAACAACAACAAAGAAAAAATGAAAATAAGAGGATTGTTTCGACTGGACAACAACTAGTTATAGATAATGGATGTGATTGGCACTGATTGAGGGTTGTTCAAGAGCTTTGGTGCGGATTAGGATAGTTAGCAGCAAAGAGAAAAGGCAGAGAGGGTGATGGTTGCTTGTAGGGTGCAGGAGGAAACACTAAACTGCAGGAAACAGAGAGAGATGGCATCGTTTGGGATCTCTTATGGCTGCTGAAAAGGGAAAAAAAAGAGAGAAGAAACCAAACTAAAATTATAGATAAAATTTGGGCTTCACACCCAGATAACTCACATACATACAACACCAAAGCA